AAAGAAATAAAAGAAGAGTCCTCACGGCGCTGCCTCATCCCCCGGCGCCTGCTCTGCACCCTCTGCATCCGGTGCTACCTCGACCACCTCTACCTCCTCGTCATCAGACTCGTTGAGGAAAGGCAAGTCAACCTCTGGGCGCTTCCTTCGAAAGCGATCGAGAATCTGCTCCCCAGCAGACTTCATCAGATTAAGTTGAAGCTCCTCAAACTCGGTAGAGTCTTGATAGGCATCGAGCCTCTAGGAGAGAAGATCCTCAAAGGCTTCTGAGGATTTAAATTGTTCCACTTGTTCCTCGACGGCGTCCCTAAACGCTTGGGATGATTTAAAAGCCTCCAGACGAGCGTCGATCAAACGACGGAACTCTTCAAAAGCCAGGAACTCCTCGACGGCTTCCTTTCTCTTTCTGTTGGAAGTCGGGAGATGCAAGGCATGCCTCGACCGCCTTGGAGCACCCCTCGTCGAAGTCTTTCTGGAAACTTTCACACTTTGCCTTGTCGACCGCCTTCTCCAGAGACTTGACCTTGGCTTTCTCGGTCTCCAAGTCTGAGGAGAGCTTATCCTGAGCAGTGTGTAGAGCTGAGATCTTTTCCTCCGCGACCCTCGACGGAACGCCATGCCTGTACAGAGTGTCAAACTCCATATAGTTCAGGAGCGTAGCTTCGAGAGCCTGTACCACGAGAAAGAAAGGGCATGGATAAGAAATCACAGGTTAACTATGTGAGAATGGGGGTCGAGAAGTGAGCAAACAAAACCTACCGAGAGTTGGCGGATCACCGCTATGCGATGGTGATCCAGAAGGTCCATCCCTACAAATTTGTCCCAGGAGTCTGCATGAAAGTGCGTATAGATGGCCTGGATGGGAAGGCTGAAGCGAGAGGGGAGGCGAAGAGCCCAGTTTAGGTCTTGGTCAACCACGTCCGGGACGAGGAATTGAGGATCATTGATCTTTGACCCCGGCATCATAAGGGGTCCCTCAGGCGTAGGGGGAACCTCCAGGTTCGCAGCGACCTCGGCTCCCTTTCCTTTGTTCAGGCATCGAGACGCCCAAGAGGACCTCTCGACTGATGAGGGGCCTTATGGCTCCTCCATCCTAGGCCTCTTGGGGGGAGAGCCAAGCTTTCCTCGGATAGAGACCCTAGTGGTGCTCGGGGCGAGGGTGACCTGTGCCTCCGGTTGCCTCGACGACTTGGAAGAGTCCCCTCCTCCTCTCTTCCTCGGCTTTGGTGGGACAATGAACCTCATAGTGGATGGCACGGCTGCACACACAAAAAAAAATGTCAGATCCAAAAGTTAGGTTCAGCTAAGAGATGAGGGGAAGTAAGTTCCAGCTTACCACTAAGAAGATCTGCCGGAGGTTCAACATGCTGGTGCGGAGGGTCGAGGGTAACCACCAAACTGTAGCGTCGACGGTTCTTGGGGGTATTGAGAACGGTAGAGCTTCGGCTGGACTCAGAATGGGACAAAATCTACTCGACCCGTGCTAGGGCAGCTGAAGAAAGCTTCGGTCGATCGCAGACTTCACCTACATAAAAGAGTAAAGCATGTAAGATAGTCGAGAAATGGAGGGATGTCACGAAAACTCAACAGAAAAGAGACCTACAGTATTTGCTGAATACTGTTTGTGTCCCCTGGGGACGCCCGCCGTCGAGCGGGTGAGAATTAAAGTTGCCACCCAGGAAAAAGAACTGGGGCTTCCACCCGTGGCAACTAGAAGTCTTCTTGACCACGACAGGCGGGATTGGAGGTTTGGATTTGGAGTGGGCTCCTAAATAGAAAAACCCCATCTGGCCAGGGGAGGCCCTAAGGGCATAGCAGTACAAAAACTCCTCGACGGTTATGTCAAGGTTCAAATGTTTTCTCCACAAAATAATCATGGAGTTTATTGTCACCCAGCAGTTGGGTGACAGTTGAGCAGGGGAAATCCTGTGAGGCCACAAAGGGCCTTCACAAAAGGATGAAAGGGCAGAGTCTGCCCAAAACTAAGGGAACGCATGTATACGGTCATGTGCTTGGCAGGGGGGTTGGGGGTCAGGATGATCAGGTAAAAATTGCTAGCATCGATCCCCACGTCATTGAACGCCCTCATGGCAACCCGGAGCTTAATCTTCGACAGGTTGACGTCTATTACCATCCCCGAGACGCCACTAGTCGACGCCACCCTATAACGGCGTTCCTCAACAGGGCCAACCCTCAGGCCAGCGTCTTCGTCATCGAGAAGGATCAGCTCGTCCGGCTGAGAGGTCGAGACCGACCCCTCGGCGTACTCTTCCACCTGGCGAAGCAGAGAGTCCGCGCTGTCGTCCGAAGATGTGCTCATCGATGCGGTATCCTTAGGGTCGTCCCTAACCCTGGAAGTGGAGAACTCTCGACCCCTAACCTGTTTGGGCGACATGTTCTGGAAATAAGCAAGAAAGGGCCAAGTTAGAGCCTAATGGTCGAGAGGTCAAAAGCAAAATCTGAAGAGAAAAGTGCGCTTGGATCAAGATGATCCGAGAGCCTGGGACTTCAGTACCAAGTTCACACAACCCAGAAATGGGTCCCAAGCCCATAAATTAGGAAAAACTTATGAGGGTCCTAAAAAAAACACCCCGTAGTGGGTTTAAGAATCCCGACGTGGACCACCAAACCGAAGCAGGTGCTACCATAACAAGACTCAACCCAGACAACATTGCTCAGGTAAGTTCATTTTACTTATGATTATATTGTTCTCTTCGAAGTGTTAGTTTTTGCAGGAATCAAGGTCAACATCGCACTGAGAAGTAAAGGAGAGCCAAAACAACTTACTTGTCCTTGAAGCGTGGTTTGAAAGCCTTAAGGAGGGAGAACTGCGGGCGGGAAATGCATACGGAAGTTGAAGTCGGAGGTGATAATTCCTGGTAAAACAGTACCAAGTTCACACAACCCAGAAATGGGTCCCAAGCCCATAAATTAGGAAAAACTTATGAGGGTCCTAAAAAAAACACCCCGTAGTGGGTTTAAGAATCCCGACGTGGACCACCAAACCGAAGCAGGTGCTACCATAACAAGACTCAACCCAGACAACATTGCTCAGGTAAGTTCATTTTACTTATGATTATATTGATCTCTTCGAAGTGTTAGTTTTTGCAGGAATCAAGGTCAACATCGCACTGAGAAGTAAAGGAGAGCCAAAACAACTTACTTTTTCTTGAAGCGTGGTTTGAAAGCCTTAAGGAGGGAGAACTGCGGACGGGAAATGCATACGGAAGTTGAAGTCGGAGGTGATAATTCCTGGTAAAAACCGAAGCAGGTGCTACCATAACAAGACTCAACCCAGACAACATTGCTCAGGTAAGTTCATTTTACTTATGATTATATTGTTCTCTTCGAAGTGTTAGTTTTTGCAGGAATCAAGGTCAACATCGCACTGAGAAGTAAAGGAGAGCCAAAACAACTTACTTGTCCTTGAAGCGTGGTTTGAAAGCCTTAAGGAGGGAGAACTGCGGGCGGGAAATGCATACGGAAGTTGAAGTCGGAGGTGATAATTCCTGGTAAAAATCCGGCAGAGTAACAACGTTCTAAAAAATGGATAACCGAAGAGCTGTGTCAAGGAGCATATATATACACCCGAGGAAGGAAGCCCAGGAGCCTCAGAGAAACCCAAACGACCCCAGATCTCGACCGTCGAATTCAAACCGACCCCATCTAATGGTGACTCTGAAGAGACGTGATCTAACGGCTGGGGTGAGAGTGGGAGAAATGAATCTGATCGGACGGCTGCGGCTTCCCCCTCGACTGCCACGTGTCACCAGGGTACAAGGGACGTGACCGTTGACACGAATGACAAGACTGCTCTGCTGCCTGAGAAACTTACTGTAATGATGGCACTATACCTGCAAGCGGCTGCCATAGGCTGCAAGAGAGAAGTTGCCACGTGGACCTATTGACGTTGTATAGCCTGGAACATCACAACGTGATATCCCAGTCTAGGGGGTAATTATTACACCACGGTCGAGAAATTGACCACTCCTTTAGACGATAAGCGCCGAGGCCTCCATGACAAGGATCGGTCGCTGGCGTCGAGGGATTAGCTGTAGCTAAGGTGCCCTTCATACGTCGAGAGTTCATGCGGGACGGCACGCATCGAGGGCCCCGATGGTGTGGCAAAGCTCACGACGTCGAGGAGGCGGCCCTGTCCAATCCAGAAGATAGTCCTGTCAACTCAAGGAAAGACATATTGTATCAACTACTACTGCTGAAGTCAAGAAATCAGGTAGCTGGTAAGAGTTGTTCGCCTGACTTAGGCAGTAATCATGGAAATACAACTGCCAAATCTCAGAATTAAGGGATTGATGATGATCTCCTCGGGAAATGCAGAGGGGGTCTCTCATGTGTACAAGGCCTATAAATAGAGCCATAGGAATTCATTAAGTTTTTTACGCACACTACTATACTACTCTAGAAAGAGCTTGTAATCACAAAGTATTAGTGTATTCACAAGTGGATTAGGTAAAGAATTTTAGCGAAACCACTATAAACTTGCGTCTTCTTTATCTTATATTCCATCATTAACCTCTAATCAACACGTGAAAGATTATTGGTTAATTCCTTGTTGACTGAAAACAACCGTCAACAACCTACAACACTACCTTTGTAAATTTCAAAACCTTTTGATGGTATCAAAACTATTCCTGGCAAATTGTTGAATATATATATATATATAT